CTGTACAAGTAAACTCAAGTTTTGTCAGGAGAATATAAACTAAAATTGAGTTAAAAGTGTTCTGACTTCTAATTCTTTTCTTACTGTAGATACTAGGATATGATGCGCCTGCAAATCCATCTGCAGAGATAAGCAGCAAGGATGAACCAGAGAAAAAGAAAAAGAAGCTACAAAAATAGCTGGATATAAAAGTTAATAGGAAGTCACACATGAATTATTTGTATTTACATATTTTTCCCTATGGGCAAAATGCTAGAAACAGATTTTGTTTACTTTTAATTACACACATTTTAATAATTTGTAAAACTGGCTTTTTCTTAAACTTTTTATGAACATATGTATGCAGGAGAATAGTTTTAAGACCAAGTATGTCTACAGTTTCGTCTTGTGGATAAAAATAAATGCTTCTGCAAAGTGAAGGAAGAGTTGTAGGGTTTTTTGGGGGGCTTTTTTGCCTTTTTTTTTTTCCCTTAAATAGCCTTAAAGCCATTCAAGAGCCTGACAAAAGTTGGTCTCTTCGGTGCATTCTCTTTGGCACCTCAGAACTAAAAGAAGTAATTGTGCTAGTTACTGGTCTCAAGTGGTAACAGAGTTTACTCTTGGAAGATAAATTCCATAGACTTACAGTTCCTTCTGGGAAGGTTCTCTCTTGCACCAGATGAGCTGTGTGTGTATATATACACACAAAGAGAGAAACCATACCATAAAAGTGCGTTAGTCTTTGCCCTAGACCTTAAAGCAATTTGAAGTCATTGCTTAGCCTCTGATGAACTGCCTTAAAAAAGGATGGAAGTCATCAATTATATTTGTGTTACACAAAAATCCACAAGTAACAAGTTTTGCGGTGATCATTCTAGCTGGTGCTGCCAAGATGCTGGTGAGTTAGAAGTGTTAGTTAGAATTCTCAAAAAAACCCCAAACACTTTGTGCCTTGAACGGCATTATTACAGTCAAGCTATATGACCTGGCTACGTAGTCATAAAGCATGTTTTCTGTGCTCCTAGACTCCATGCTCGACTCCCCCCACAGGGATGAGGGAGACCAAGCCTTCTTTGACGTGGTAGCTATTGAATTCTGCAAGTTCAACTCAGTAAACTATCCTCGAAAGCACCTGGGATTACAGTAGTTTTCATAGACCGGTTCTGCTGCTGCCAATTCCTAGCTCTCAAAGCCAAGAAACTGCAATCCCACGTGCTACAGATGTTCCTCAGAGATCTTGGAGGAGTTACAGCCCTCAAACTTCTATACTAGTCACTTACTCCTCAGTGGTTTCCTTGGGTAATCGGCGGGTCACAGATGATCAATATGTGGTTGTCACTGGGCCATATTTACTCAGCTCCCTGTATGCTGGCATTGTAAAAGACCGGATCAGATTTATAAAGTACATATTTATAAAAGGCATCAGAAGGAGGCAATTAACAAGTTTAACTGATTGCAATAGAAAAAGCCACACCCCATGAACGAGAGGTTTTAATCCTGTCACCACTACTCTAAAAAAGGCTTATTTGGAAACTTCAAAAATAAAACTCAGTTTCAAGCAAGATGTGCAGAGCACTGGATCTATAACTGGTACTGCACTTCTAATCCAGCACCACAGTTACTGGAGTAACTGAAGCCATTTTCAACTGTATGAGAGCAAAAGCTTGCCCAGCTCCTTGCCTGATCTCCTTCCTCTGTTCCCCAGTGCCCCCCCCAGCATACACACACGTGTTACAGGCAGCACCCCAATGAAAGATGCTGCAAATCATAGCAGAGAAAATAATACGAACAATCTAGGTATGAAAGAGATGTCTTTATTCTGTTCAACGACTCAATTTACAATTATCCATGTTAAAGGACTCTCGTTAAAACTACTGAAATTAATTTAATGTAAACAATGACCGTTTTGTGCAACATGTGCCAACCAATGCATTAAGTACAACTAGAGAAACAGAATGGTCACATGATTTCACGTGCATGATAATTTGCACAGTAGGTTTCTTCTACAAAACAATTATACAAACATAATAAAAAATATGCATGTTTTATAAAATAAATAATTCCCATCTAATTGAAGACTGTAAAACAGGACAGAAGATACCAGCAATTTATTTGGGGGGATCCTTAATTACTTCTCGCAATCACCCATTTCTGCTGTTACTTTTCCCTTACATTTAAGAAAATACTTATACAGGGTGCAATTAATTATGTTAGTTATTGCTTTTTTTGTTTGTGAATACTTTGAAAGCCTCTGATCATTGAACATATCATTATAAAGAATCAAAACTTTTAATTAAAAATTAAAACCAAATCTTAATTATACGTATCATGCCAAACAGTTCAGAAACAGATTGTAATTTGGACTACTCTGCTTCTCATCTTCCCCTTTACATTAACATTACTACTATTTTTAGTAATCACACTTGCAAAAATAAATTCTTTGTATGGTCTGGAAATCTGAAATTAACCCTTTCAATTGATTATTTTTAAAGAGAATTATCATGAGAAACAGAAAAGATGCAAGGTCATAAATAACTTCTAAATCTTGGACAAGTTGTGTCTTGCTTTTGAGCTACGAACCTTACAAATGAAAGCTAAGAACATTCTGAATGCCCTATTCAATAAACTCATTTTCCAGAAGTCTAAGTTCATTCTCTACTTCAACAAAATTCATCCCCTAAAAGTTATCAATTCAGTGTATTTCCAGCTTTTAGTAGGGCACTGTTTCAAGATCATGAGATAGATGATTCCGGACATCAGGTTCAATTACTGTCAATCAGATATGCGTAACAGAAATACTGATTAAATTGCTATGGAAGTAAAAATAATGATGTCACGTTTGCTGGTTAGAAATCTAAAGTAATTTTTTTTATTACTATTTTTGCAATGTGAGAACTAAAACCAAATGATACTTTATTGATGGTATAGAAGTTTCCCTGTTTCATTAAGTATTATTTTCCAGAAAGCCTTCACTGATGAGCTATTATGAAAATATTTCAAGAACTGTTCTATTCATACTTGCGCGCAAGTCTCGGGTCTAACCCATTCCTTTCTAATGCTATGCCATTCCCTTCACACCTCCCCTTCTGAGATTTTTTAAAAATGTTGTCAGTTGCCTTCAGATGTAGGTCTGACCAACTGTTTCACGCTTAGTGTGCCAACAGCTACTCAACAGCCACGGTCTATCAGTTTGATACAAGCTTTTCTGTGGGTTGTGGAATAGAATAGGATGCAGAACTTCCATCCAGTATCCTGGGACTGGCTATCCTTGCTATGAAGGGAGAGAGACTGCTTCACCTGGAGCACGTACGAGAGTGGACTTTTCTTTTTGATTAATCCAACAAAGTGTACTTCAGGGCTCTCCAAACACCGAAATCTCAGTATTTCCCCTATCTCTTCCCCCCCTCTTAGTCACTAGGGCTAGAAAATTACCATATGGATTTCCCCCCCCCCCCCTTCACATTTATGAATTCCAGAAGGTCCTGTTAAACAAATCCAACCAAATTTAACCAAATCTGATTTGATTAGACAAAGAGAGTTCTAGGCTTCCAGACTCTCCTCATTCCATTACTTTTGTTCATCGATGGTTTTCTTGAAAGTAGCAAGAGTTTGTTTATATTAAAATTTCTTGCAATAAGTGGCATGCAAAAATTAATTATATTTCTAAATGCTTATCTAATATTTTGGTAATTTCTGTAAGCAGACATAATAGTATTGGGAATTAAGCGTAAGAGGGAAGTAAAAGTGTAATGTTTACTTCAATAGAAGGAAGGCTGCATCATTCTCTTAATGATGTACTGAGACCAATTAACCTTATTGCACCTTCTTACATGCCTTCAAAAGAGTACTGGAGCATCAATTTGGACACAAATGTTCTCAAGAAACACCGGTGGAGTCAGGTGATCAACTTCAAGATTAGTACTAATACACTACTGAAGTAACAACACTAGCATTTAATTTTAAAGTAACCAATAGTACATCTTACTTTAGTACATGGTAAAGCTAACTGACGGATATGCAGTTTTTAAAGTAAGAACTGCTTGCTTAGGGGGAAAAGATTTTGTTTTCCTATTAAGATATTTCCATCACCTGTCCTTTTCCTTGATTTCTGTCCAACCATGGAAAAACTGATCAAAGAACTGCTAAAAGGCTTCTTCTGACATATAGCTTACTTTATTACTAAAAGAATTAAACTTTTTTTTTTAAATTGTGGAAAAGTACATCATTTCCGTAAGTGGAATGGAGTTTTCATGCAGCTGTTCACAAGGAAAACTTAATTAAAAGGACTAGCCTGGTATTAAAATCAAAGCACCCATTTTTAACAGTTTGCAGTCCGCTGTGAAACATACACTTATTCCAGGGACCCATTTCTGGAACACTAGTTTTACTCTTTCCTCATGAAAATCACAGCTGAGTTTCATCACTGTTACTTTAGACTGATACTCACAGACGCTCATCGCTCTCCTGTTACCCCAGCCCTGCTCTCATCAGACCCCCAGCGGTTCATTTCTGTCCAGTGACTCTTTCTTGGTACTACTGCTAGTATTCCTGAAGCCACACAATAAATCTGATCAGGGGAAAAGCAATCCAAATCAAAACTGACTCCTTTCCTTTTTCTCTCCCACAAAGAAAAGTTTCCCTCATGCCTCTAGGAGTTGTGTCTTAAAACGTAGGTGGTTTTCCAGTTACATTGGCTCCTATGCAAGTTACCCTAGGTTTGCTCAGTCTATCTAAAATACTCCTCTTGAAGCTGAAGTTATGTCCAAACTTTCAAAACAAGGCTCCTCATGGAATCTGCCCTAATCACAGAAGGAACACAATTCTGGTAAAACAGTACAGTTTCTTTGTACCAAGTCTAGCCACCTTAACTTTCGAAAGGATCACTTAAGGATACCAATAGATTTCTTAATAAGACCTGAAAAACCCTACATTATTTAAAAACTCTCATAATATATACCAGACAATTTTTTACATTTGCATTAAAAAAGCAAAATAGTATGTATAATCCAGGTAATTGAAGTCATATATATAAAAATTTGTTAGACAACACAATTTAAAGTCTCCATCAGAAAACTACATACCATTTTTCTGAAATCCCTGAACTTGATTTTCATTTTTATGTTTCCAGGCAGAAATGTTGCAAGTTGCATTTTGACCAAATACTGTACTATGTGTTTTTGCTTTTTGGAAACAGGATTGCTTCTCTGGAGATTTTACTCTCACCAACTGATTGTCCTTATGGTTTAAAATGGAACACTCCTAGGTTAATAAGGAAAAGTTAATTTTAAAACCATTTTCACAAAAATTCCCCAAAAGAAACAAGATCCAAACTTACTATCTGAAAATTTCAAGTTACAATTGGTATCTTAGCCTCCCATCTCTCCCCTTCTGAAACAAAAAAGAAATGAAAGGTAATGTTTTCTCTGCACAAATCTTTGAGACATGCTGTCGGCAAGAACCTCCTTTCAGAGCACACATGCTCTGAATGAGCCAGACTGGATTCCTTCAGCCAGCAATGTCCACGCTTTTTTCTTTTCATTCTCTGTGGGTTCTCTGTTGTGAGAGTGGAATGAAGTACTTAATGCCTCCACACTTAAATCGTAATCCAAAAGGCAAAGTTGGGCTTAGTTAGGATCTAGCAGTTGAAAGGCTAGCAGTGGGAGAAGACAGCTGCATGAGTCTCTAGGACAGGTTTGATATTATACAATTCTGATGAAAACATTCACGTGTATAACCCATGTCCAACAGGATGACTAGGGCAAGACCTCAGCATAGATGGACATTTTTAAAATTTAAAGATAAAAATATCCATCTGTTCTTCCTATAAGGGCACAGTTATCCTAATCTTAAATGAGCAGAGTTCAAAATTTGATGTCAATGGTCTGTAAGACACCATCAATCCGCTCTTTACCTTGGCAGAGAAGTGGCTATTAGCATGTCAGATACAGAAGTGAAGTCAGGGCTGAATGAACTTAACTTCAGAATTTTATAATCTGGTACTGTCTCCCATTCAACGACTCTAAACAATGTCAAGCAGTAGACCATAAACTATTAAGTTTATAAGACCGTAAGACCATAATTACTAAGTGAGAGGAGATGATCTTTGTGCTCTCCTCTAAAGAAACTAGCCTTGCTTCCTGTTCTCTGGAAGAAGTAGAACTCCTTCCAATCAGTCATAAGATTGAGAGCTTGGGAGCCTTGCTAGATATGTATTGTCTTTTGTAGTTTGTTTTGTTTTGTTTTTAAGATAGGTCATCAAAGGGCTTGTCATCAAAAGACTGTACCTAACCACAAAGTTCCCCACCAAATCAGCATGCCAGGTATGGTCTAGGAAACTTGAAGCTAGTTTATGAAAAGAAGCGGCGGACAATTTTTCCCCAGAAATGCGCTTCTCCACAGGCACACATTTTAAAACTTGGTAATAACAATTAAAAAAAAAAAAAAAGGCAAGAACAACAGAAACAAATATCCTCACAACTACTTTTTATGCACATACTTCAGTTTCCTCTGACACTACCTTTGCCTTTGTCATAGAACACATTAATTTTATTGCCAGCTTACAATATTTGTCCTGCATTTATTCCTTGTTTTCAACATAATACTTGATGCAACATGCTCTCTATTATCACCTGACAGCCTCTCCCCTCACTCAGGCTCCCTGCAACTGAATAAAATAGGGAATGGATGCTTTAGATGGGAAGCCTATCACTTTTGTATCACAATTTAACTCCTACCTTTGTTCTAAGAAGCTGAGATTTATTCTGAAACATGTTAGTATTCACATCATTTTCTCTGCAACTGTTTTCAGCCCCCGCAGTATCCATAATGCTGCTTCCACAAGTCTGTGTATTATAACCACTGTCCACCTGAAATCAAGAAGCAGGGCTTTAAAAAGGTATACTGCACTTTATCACCAATAAACCCCTCCGATTCTCATACCTGGCATGACTTGCATTTGATTAACAGAACTTAATCCAACAAACCAACTACCACCAGTTAACAACAAAAGCAAATCATATAAACAGGTGTGTCAGAATTAGTCTGAATTAAGTTAAACGTATTGCTTTAACACAGTAACACAGAAATCATTTGTAATTGCTATGCTGACTCCACTGAGAGAGGAAAAAGGGGGCGAGGGGGAAGGAATAAAAGTCACAATACCACCTGCATGCCACATCCAATAAGAGAAAATAGACAATTGCTTCCAGAACAGTATACATACTAGAAGTTAGTATGTCGAGCTCAGTTTTACAGAGAAGCAAAAAAAGACTTTTCTTTTTACCTGAATACTACTGTTGTCACAAGGAATTGCGCTGCTTTCTGCAAGAGGTGACATGCACATGCGAGAGTTTTCAATACTGAAAGTAATCCCTGTCATAAAGCTGGTCATTGGTGCATTGCTATTGCCAATTGTTTCTTTTATCCAAGTGTTTTCCTCTGACACTTCAGCTGCATCAGCCATATCTACAGTATTATTTTCCTTTAAGCCTTCTATATCCTGAAATGATGACAACCTTTGATGACAAGCTTCCGAGTGATCTGGTGCAATAGACACAGTTGCTACCACAAGATGTGTACCATGTGCAAAAGTATCACCGTCTTGCTGACATAAGTTTATTCCATTATCCATTTCTGGGAACCGAGCTTCTGCTGGAGAAGCATTTTCCTTGTCTTCCTCATCCTCACCATGATTTTCAACTGGAATTGGTATCCTAATGACAGAAGTCTGATACTGGGCAGTTCCTCTGCATGCTCCCAGCCTCATAGGAGAACAATTTTTAATCGGAGAACAACCATCTATATAAGGACTTCTTGTACTTGGGGGTGTCATTCTATTTGAGGAAGAAGGAATATCTGGAGAACAAAATGTAAATTTTCTTTGGTCTGTCCACAGAAGAAAGACAAAAAAAAAAAGGGAAAAAAGTTATTCTATTAGATGATGGAGTTAACGACATCATTCTCAAAACACTACAGTCCTTTGAATAATTATAGCCAACCACATAGTATTTCATTCAGCACTCCTTCCCAGCTCCAAGGGGGAGTTTAAACTGCATTTAAACTATCATGGTAAAGGCAAGTTTTTATCCCTTTTTTACCACCAAATTTGTTTCTTATGACATAGTTTGTTGTATCAGAGGCCTTGTATTTTCAAATGGCAATACCACACACTGTTCACAGGAAGAATGTGTGAAGGCTGGTTCTGTGGCTTTCTTCCAAAAAAAAAAAAAAAAATTACACATATTCTATAGGCATTTAAAAAAATTTGGGCTAGCAATAAAATTTTCAAGAAAATCAAACCTATGCAGTCTCCATATATAACGGTGTTGAAATACCACAAGGCTTATCAGAGCAAAGTCATGTACGAATGTGGTGTTATGTCTTTCCAGGCAATGGACAAAACATAAAATACTAACATTTTCTAGAGCAACAGACACAAAATGTTGATGATTTCTTCACTAGTCAGTTTCATTTCAAATAATCTTGATGATCTTGACATGACTTGAAAACTCAAGCTAAACATTCTTTGTCCAATTAAAATGCTTCAGGTTGGGCCAAATCAGAATTGTGACCCGACTTCTGGCTTTGAACCCCCTCCTCACACTAGATTAATCCTCTAAGTTTTTTTCATTCCTACTAGGTCTCAATTCCTTCTTTTAAAACATTTTCCCTAGTTGATTATTTGCAAGCAGATACACTTCACTGTTTCACATCATTAAGATATTTCACTGCTGAACAATAAATGTGTCAATATAGGAGGAGACTGCTGGTCTGCCAAGCACAGTAACTTGACTCCGAACAGAAAAAAGTTCCAGTAAGAATGCAGCAGTTTTTATAATTAAAGTATATAAATCAAGAAAGAATAATACATATACAATTAAACCATACCTGACAGTGGCGTCTTTCTTATGTGAAAAGCAATTGGCGAAAAAGTAGGAGAACCATTATGTGCAGGAGAGCCCTCTGGAAATGTGGGACTGGTTATACTTCCAAGACTATAAGCCCTTGTTCCTCCCTGGATAGGACTTGAGGAAAACTGACCCTTCAGTTAAAAAAAAAAAAAAAGAAAGGAAAAAAGCGTATTTTCATAATGTAAACTTTGATTAATATGTATATATAAAAAGTGTTCTAATTAAAAAGCTTAATATGGCAGCACTGGGGAAAACTAATCCCGTACAACTGTACAATGACAATCTCTGTCATTAGTTTAGCTTAAATATTCCAGTTGCAACTCTTCCCTTGGACTTTATGCTTCCACATAGGAAAAGAGCAATGGATTCAAACTGTCACATAATACCAACCAGGACTATAATATCCGTTATATTTAAGAACTGTGATAAGCCTAAATAGGGAATTAATGCTATCTGTGTATATAGTCAAGTATTTAATCTCAATTTCTTACTCATAACAATGCAGATGAAATCCAGCCACTATTTATATTTTAACGGAATCCATATTCTCTGAATTATTTAACTCAGAAGCAGACACAATACTTTTCCTTAAGAAAAAAGAATAGTGGTTGTGATCTTGCTTAAGAGTATGGTACAAAAAAGTCACTTCTAGTGGTATAATTATGTTGTAGGAATTCTTTACTAGGTTACCACAGTGAGGACTTCTTTTTTTTAAGCCACAATCTTGCTGGGGTACCTTTTTTCCCCAGGCGCTTTAGCTGCCAAACAGATGAAACCATACCACCTAAACCAGTTTAGATGTGCTATGTCCACCTGGGAATACGATTCATCCGGCTTAATTTAAAAAACAGACATTATATTCTGTTCTAATAAATGTCTATTCATCTGAAATCTCTGGTCAATGGAAAAGAAAAAAGCATATTTAGCACTGCATTCAAAGATCCACAAGTCATTTCTTCCACCATAAATGAGTTCAGGAGCTATAAGAAAAGTAATTCTATCACCTGTTCATATCAACAAGTATTTTACATAGCAGTTCATGGATTTAAACAAAGGCCTTTTTTTTGTATACACATTTTATGAAAAAAATGGTTTCAACATGCTTTCACCAAACCTTGCATATGTATCAATTCCTACTTCCTTTTCATAACATAAAATTAAAGCATAATTCCTTTTATACAAAAGAATAGCAGCACAGCATAATTTGATATAATAAAAAGTCAATATATTCTTTCAAGACTTTTTTTGTTCACATAAATTTTTTCTGAAATTGGAATTTGAAAAAAAAAAAAACCCCAAAAAAACCCAAAAAACAACAAACACCTTTGGTCTAATACCTACTCTCTCATAAAGTAGTTGTAGCTTATTAAAAACATGGTTGTTCATCTTGTGAAGTCTGTTAGAACACAGAATTGGTACAGCCTGCTCTAAGAACTACTCTTGTGCCAGCTATGTCACACCCCATCCAGCCCCCAAAACAGGCTACTTACTGAACCAGATGTTTCCAGAGGGCTTCTGCACCGGACTGGAGATATGTCAATTGAACAAAGCACTCCAAGTGGCTGACTACTGCATGGACTATGAAGAGAAGGGGACAAACACTCAGATACGCTTCCATTTTCTTCTAAAAACAGCTTTCTTCTGAGTGATGAAGAGCTCAGATTTTCCTGAGACTGATCTGCAAATTCATCAGTTCTAAAATATTCACCTAGAAACATGGAAGAGAAGTCGTTTCCAATAAGAATGCAAGGAAAAAAAAAATATTTTCCACTACAGAGAAATATATAACTAAATTAAAACATTTAATCCAATTTACCAATACAGCAAGGAATTAATCTAATTTAGGCACCTATCCCAAAGGATCAATTTTTGTTATCATTACAAAAAGTCCACTTTGTCTATCGAGGTTCCACTTCTGCCTATCATCCTTTAATACTAAAGTCTGCATTTAAAAAAAAACCACATAAATATTGGCTAGCATCTACTTACCGGCCTTTTCCCAAAATTGTATTCTTCTTCACATTTGAGTTGTGAAAAAGGGGTTATTATACTACCCAAGCAAAACTAGACCTTTTTTCAGGTCTCCCATATGCTTTGATGGTCATCGTGACACATCCAAAGGCAAACCAGATTGAACTCAAAGAAAGTCAAAGCACTTAGCAGTTTACAGTGGAAGAGCATACAGAGGTTAACAAAGACCCATTAAAATACGCCGAGATTATTTTAGTTTTTTGCTCTTGCTCCATTCGAATTGGATATTTCTTGTAGAAGAAATTTTTCATGCATTCACAAACTATGCATTGATGGAAGCATTTGTTAAGATGAAACACAAAGGCAATAAACAGGGTTCTGTTTTTCTGTTTTAATTTTGATGACCCACAATCAGCATTGTAAACTTCAATACTGGGATAGGAGCATTCAGCCAAAAACCTCTGAGCTGGCTATACCCACTATTCCCATATATGAGCTGTAAGAACAGGCCTTTCCAGCCCCCTTGTCTGAGAAGCTGGCAGCAATCGCTTGATATAGCAGTTACAATCAGACAGTTAATTTGGACTTGTCTCCCCACTCAGCGGTCATAGCTTTTTTGCCACCACACAACTTCTAGTCACCACTGTGGCTTCAGTTAAATTAAAGGCACAGAATTATAGCATAGCTTTGCTCAAGGCAAGATTGGGCTATAAGCCTCATTGCCAGCAATCTCCAAGTCAAACAGCTCTGCTAAGTTAAATAACTGCTCTATTTGGGGGAGGCAGGTGTCTTCTGCTGACTACCTTTTATGCATTCAGAATTGTTAATCAATTTCCAATTGTTCTCCTCTTTTATCTTTATGTCTACATTCAAATCATATCATTTAACTCAGATGTCCCATGCAACATGCAGTAACTGTTTAGAACACATACTTAAAACTTTCATTCATATATTCATTTTCAATATTTCATAAGACAAAAAAAGCAAACAATACAAAAACAAGTTTTCTATTTAGATATTCATAATTAAATTTAGGTATTACATGACATACCTAGTATTTTCTCTAAATTAAAATCCACTGGCAAAGAGAGTACTGTCTGACAAGCAGCTGCAATGAATAAAACCAACAAAATTAGCTTGCAGGGACTTTTTACTAAAACTGTAGAAACAAAAATTCACTTTCAAATTGCGTTGCAATTAAGCTATTTAAGTTACAGTTGCAATACGGAAAAGTGTTAATTAAAGCTAGGATTCTGATCTGACAACACTATATACAGCACACTCGGGCCTAGAGATAAAAAAACCCAAGTGTTATAACATAAAAGCCTCTAGAGAGGCATTCTTAACTGAGGAGAGAGGTCTCTGAAGAAAGGAAGGATTCAAAAGGAAATGGGAGAAAGATCATCAAAACACCCTGGAGAAAAACACTGCCTATTTATCTAAAATGAAACAGTTTAAAGGATGTCTTAAGATTTCTGCTATTTCTGCTATTTCTTCTTTAACCCAAAATGATCCAATACATTAAAGGTTTCTTGAAACTGTAATTTACCCATAAACTTGAGGCTTATATTCACTTTTTAATTCAGAAAAAGTGCATACACTGAGTTGGAAAAAATGCACTGTATGGTCTACAGAAGACGTCAGTTTTTACTTCTGAAAAAATATGAAAGAGTTTAATAGAATTAAACTACTATGAGAAGTGGACATTAAAATTAATAGTACCATACAGTTCAAGAAAAATTATTTCTACAGGAATATTAATAAAAAAACATTCCCTTTTGCAATTAAATAGCCATTAAAAAATGGGTTATTTTGCTTCAGAGAAAGCCTGTAATTTCACACATTGCCTTTTACCCACCATTGCTTTTCCCAGGCTGCAAAGTTAGTTGTCTTCCAATTGGAGAAATGGTATTTAGATCTATGGCTGTAAAACATATAAGAACTTAAATTTAAGCATGCATTGCATATAGAGTTTTGAAATCTAGCAGCAGTAAGGTTAGAATATTTAATACAACTAAACAAAATTTTTGCATCAAAGTTTGGAAGAGATTAGAAAGGCATACTGAAGAAAGGTTACCATTATAGCTGATTAAGAGAATTTCAGCACCTTTCTATTCAAAAAAAGCTTAGTGAAGTAGCATCAACTTTGCCCAGATCTTTGTCTCCTGCAGCCTCCTCTACATTACAGAGATCTAAAACAAACTCAGTTTATGCTTAGCCAAACTGGCTGTGTTCAAGTAAAACGCATTTCCAGAAAACCACGCACTCTGACTTGAAGACAAAGATGGAGAATCTAACACTCGAATCTTCTTACATAGCTAAGGAACACATTAGACCATTTTCTTTCACCACTCACTTTCCCAGGTCTAGGATCGTGGCTCTGCCCAAGTGACAATATTACAATTGACAATTAAAAATACACTATCGACAAGCTGCATCTCCTTGATAAAATATTTTAACAGTTTAGCTTCTTCCAAATCTTGCAAAAATCCCCAAACACTTATTTAAGAATTTCCTACCAAACAATACTGAATGCAAACAACACTTTATAGCTGATGTTTGTCCAACTTGTAATCCATTTACTATGTATTCTGTTGGTTATAAACTTTAATAACAGCAGCATTAATAATAAAATCTAATAATGGTGTAAATGAAATAAATTTAGAAAACCCACAACTCTACGTACAGTGACAGTCATCTAGCAGGACATTAAGAGGACACAGGAATTTACGAGGCAAGTAAGGGTCAAAAACCATGAAACTCATTTCCCATGTATTTGTATTGGCAGGAAAGCCGTCAG